TTTTCGAACAAGTGTCTTTCGAACAAGTGTCTTTCGAACAACTGTTTTTCGAACAAGTGTCCTTCGAACAAATGTCTTTCGAACAAGTGTCCGGATCCCAATACAGTAGCTTCACACATACTTGAGAAAGCGATAAGTTAGATAAAACATACAATGATAAAGTTACATAATTTAAAAAATCAAATCTACTACATTTTATCATTAAATTCTGCAATTAAACTAACAATAAAACATTAAAATACTTGATTTGATAATACAATAGAAAAATATAATAAAAATTTTTAAAAATTATTTTTTAAAAGTGTGATTTAAAATATTTATTATGTTGCAAAATAATAATAATTGATGTTAATATTCTTTATAAAAAATGATTACAAAATATATAAGTTTTTTAAAATCTATTTATAATGAAAACTATAAAATTAATAAATCATAAAAAGCATGCTAATATTTTACAAAATTCATATTTTATTAACAATGAATAAACTTAATGTCCTAATTGTTTTTTTTACTATGTTGAAATTATTTTAATGATATGCACGCAATTAATTATAACACTATCAATTATTAACACTAGGATAGTTTATTTTTTTGCAAACTAGCCTGATAAGATTAAAAATTAAATTAGATTAGATATAATTAGATTAAAAATTAGAAAAATTATTTAATATTTTAGGTATACACCATGGTGTTTAATTTATACTATCAAAACAATTACTCTGGATATTTAAGTCCCGTATCATTGAGTAGAGTGACCACCCAGGCATCAGTGGGCACCTGACCCGACTCTAACAACTTGACAGCTGCGGCCACATTAGCGGCCGACGTATAGCCCACATACAGACCCTCTGTCCGGGCCAACAGATCTTTGTATTTAACGGCCTCTTCATCCGTCACACTCACCGTCCCATCCATTGTATCGTAACTAAAAAGCGGCGGAACATTCCCATAGCCCGACCCCTGGAGCATATGTACGGGTTTGGTAACCGGCAGACCCTTCACAGCCTCAGCGCCGGCCGGTTCGCCTACAAAGCACTTGACATCCGGGCTCTGGCTTTTCAAATACCGTGAAACCCCTGTATAAGCGCCGGCAGAGCCCACATGTGCTACAAAAGCGCCCACTCGGCCGCCCGTCTGACGCCATATCTCGGGCCCAGTGGTCTCCACGTGGGCTCTGGTGTTGTCCGTATTGTTACACTGGTCCACGTAGAAAGCACCTTGCTCTTTGCAAACACTCTCAGCCAATCGCAACGCTTCGCACGCGTCCTGCCAACTGACTTTGCCCGGCACGCCCTCCACCTGCGGCGCCAGTAATAACTTCGCGCCCAACGCCCGCATCATAACCGCCCGCTGAGGGCTATAGCCGGCGCTCGTCGTTAACGTCAATGGGTGTCCCATAACGGCCGCTATGACGGCCAGACCGGCGCCGGTGTTACCGCCGGTCATCTCAACGATTGGTCCGTTGGGTTTGAGCTGTTCGTTGGCGAGCGCACCCGATATCATGCCCAGAGCCGCCCTGTCCTTTATACTGCCCCCGGGGTTCATGAACTCGCACTTTGCAAGTATACGTCCCGGTCCGGGCCATATCCGGTCCAATGCAACCATAGGTGTGTTTCCGATCAACTCTATGGCCGACGCCTTGATGTCTGTCGGGCCGTATTGTTTTGCCATTGATTTATTGGTGTTAGTATATTATTTTTGTATTAGGTTTAATACTTGTGAATTAAAGGCTCAAAATTTTATTGCTATTTATACTTATGTTATTTTAAGATTGGTGATTTATCGCACGCATCGATTTGACATTTGTGATTTATCTCAAACATATTATTATTTGGGTTCAGATTATATAGCAGTAGATAAAGCATAATATGCATATAATGCGTAAATAGCATATTATGTACTATCTTTCATAATCATATAAATTAATGAATAAGTCAATAATTTAATTATTAAATTTGTGATTTATCTTTCCAAATTATCATTTGGGTTCAGATTATATAGCAATAAATACAGCATATGTACTATCTTTTCTAATCATATAAATTAATAATCACGTAAATATTTTAATTATTAAAAATATTTTATAATTAAAATAAAATTATTAAATGTGACAAACAAGCTAAATACAAAAATATTCAATATTTAAAAATTTAAATCTAATTGGAATTATAAATTCTTATTTGCATTATTGACTTTAATCACTTATAACTATTATAAATAATTGATTAATGACAGCATAATTGATAAATTAACTAATTATACCGTCATTACAATAACATATTAATACAGTAGCTGTTACATATTTGAGAAAGCGATAAGTTAGATAAAGCATACAATGATAAAGTTACATAATTTAACAAAAATTAAATCTAGTACATTTTAGGATTTAATTATGCAATAAAACTACACAAACAACAAAAAGTTAAACTATTATATTTTATAATAAAATTAAAAATTATTAAATGTTAAAAGTGTGTTTTTAAATATTTAATATGTTTTAAAATAAAAATAATTAATGATAAAAATGATTACAAAATATGCAAAGTTTTTAAATCTATTTCTACTTAAAAAACTATAAAATTTATAAAACCTAAAAAATAATATTTTACAAAATTTACATTTTATTAACAATGATTTTAATGTCCTTATTGTCCTTCACCATGTTGATATCGATTTAATTATATGAACAAACGCAATTAATTATGATAGCATCAATTATTAACACTTAAATGGTTTATTATTTTTGTAAACTAGCCAGATAAGATTATACAATTAGATTAGAAATTATTAAATTATTTAATATTTTGAGTGCATTTATATTATCTAAATTTAACCTCGTTAATAAATAATGATGATAATACATTTTATTAAATTTTATGTAATTATAAACACTCATGTCTTTATTATCAGCAAAAAATAATAATGTTTTATAAAATAAAAATAATGTTTTAAAAGTTACTCTTGATAAGTTTTCAAATTAAAAAAATATGTGAGAGTATTACCCCATAATTAAACATTAGACATATTGTACTTTTAATTATTATAAACACCTTTAAACAATTATACATCATGCTATTATAATATACTAAAAACATTTTTACAAACTAAACATTCAAAAACAAAATAAACTGAACTCAACATGATCAATAACTTACTATCAATTATCATCATATTGATAATAGCCAGCAAACACAATACACGTGCTGACCCGGTAGAGATCACAAGTGCCACTACAACCAGAAATCCAATTGACCCTAAATGGTCGCCTATACCCTTCGACACCGACACCAGCGATCAACCATCTAAAGTCGTTAGAGAACAACCATGGTCATCTCCGCAAGCTGAAACAGTGTGGTTTGTTCAAACGTACGTGCCCGAACCAGTCCCATCGCTGCCCTACATCAGTGTGCCCAGTTTTATACCTGGTCACGCTAATGTTGAACCTAATTTTTATGACCCTGCCATTATTTCTACGCCAGAGGGTGGCCATAATCATCGCGATGTTAAACATTTAGAAAATTATCCTGTGCCAAACTGGCCAGTGATTGGCAGTATTATAAAATCGTTCATGTGATTAAATTATTTTATCTATTATTTTATTAATCTACAGTTAGTAAATAAAATTAATTATAGTAGTTAAATATAATTAATGTGAAAACAATTTATGTATGTTTTTAATTTTTAAATGTAATAATAATCATGGTTTTATAAATAAAATTATTTTCACTATTTTTACAAGATGTTTATTATACTGTATATAAAATGTATTTAGAGTTTTTTCAACTAAACTTTTTTATTAAATTGTAAGTTTTAAAATAATATATCAGGTAAAATAAGTATCAGTGATACTGTATCACATATTTGTATAACATGTGTTTATTAAAAAAATTTAAAATTTTTTATTTTACAAGATGAAAATAAATTAACAAACTCAACTTATATTGAACAAGTTCAAAAATTACAAAATAAACACCGTGCTAAACTGAAGAGCAACAACATGATCTATCACGCAGCATTTATTATCATATCTGTATATTTAATTATAATACTTAATAATTACATGATAGTTTGCGATAAACAATCAAGATCAGACAATACACACCATAATCGCTATGACCGTAAACCTATTGATCCAAAATGGTTAAGACCTCTACAGCGCCAAACCCGATGGGTTAGCCGATGAGGGACGGGTGAGTGATGGCAGCCATTGGCACGATCAACATTACCACGATCGACCCTATGTTCAGACATACGTTCCCGACCCGGATTTCCCGTTGATGCCCGAGTCTATGTATGTTAAACAGGCCAAATTATAATACTGTTAAATTAATGCTTGTGTTAAAAATATACTGATAAATTAAGAATACTGTATATTATTTAATTAAATAATTTATATATTTTATATTAAACTATTTTGTTGTAATAATTATTAATGATAAATTAAATAAAAATTAATCAGTTCATGTATTTCAATGTATAGCACATGCAATTATTTGTATAATTGTCATTTAAAAATTCTGTTAAACAAAAACCATCTGTCAATCTAGATTAGTTTCAGCATTTTACAAAATGACAAAAATATATATTAATTTATAACGTTAACAATGATTATATCATATTATACAATAGATCATAATGTTATATAAAAAATAAAATTATGAAAAATTTATCGCCGTTTGCATATAAATTATTGACCGTCGCGTGGATTACAGCCCAACGACAGCTCATTCACGACAACACGTGTTCCCGAACTCAATGGCAAAGCAGTTATGACTTCATTGTTGTCGGCGCCGGAACTGCCGGTACCCCGGCGTACTGTCTGCCATAGTTTTGATCAGGTTCGTTATAATAAAACCAATTATTGTTAACATTTGTTGTCGGCGCCGGAACTGCCGGTGCGGTTGTGGCCAACAAACTCAGTGCAAATAAATTTACAAAAGTGTTGCTATTGGAAGCGGGTGGTCCATTAAACGCTATTGATAATGATATACCAGGGTCAGGTGGATCGACAACAAATGTTAACAATAATTGGTTTTATTATAACGAACCTGATCAAAACTATGGCAGACAGTACGCCGGGGGTCGGGTTCAAGAGGTAGCAGGCAAAACACTGGGCGGCAGTTCAGCGCATAATGGTATGGCATTTACTCGGGGTAATAGTCGTGGGTATGACGAGTGGGCCAATACGTACGGCGCCGTCGGTTGGAGTTATAGGGATGTGTTGCCGGTGTTCAGGGAGTGGGAGAACAATACGGATCCGTTAATTGTTGCCAATAATCCTGAATATCACGGAACTCATGGACCCATTCAAATTACAACACCAAAGAACCCTGATGAAATATTTTATAAATATTTTGAAACATTTAGTAAATTGGGATATAAAGAGACCGACATTAATGGGCCAAATCAAGTTGGATATACATTTACGCAGAAATTTGTAAATTTATTAGGTTTAAGGGCGGAAACGGGTAATGTGTTTATAGACCCGAACCCACACCCAAATAACCTGTATATAGTGTGCAAAGCATTGGTCACTAAAATATTGTTCAATGGGTTGACAGCCATTGGCGTCGAGTTTATAGTGAATGACATCTCGTATACGGTTTACGCCAACAGAGAAGTCATTGTTTCCGGTGGTAAATAAATTTAGGAATATTTGTATAGTTGTTTAAAACTACCATGTAACTAATTAGCTTGAAATATACTTTTTATTACTTTACATTTAGGTGCAATTCAAAGCCCACAATTACTAATGCTCTCAGGCGTGGGTCCAAAAACTCATTTACAAAGTTTTAATATCTCTTTGGTGTTGGACTTACCGGTTGGACAGCATTATGTAAATCAGCCCTCAGTCGACATAACTGTCCCATTAAAAGCTGAATATTTGAATTTAGTTAACCCAACCGCACAATTGAATGTCCAACAATTGGAGCAACTTTATTATAATCACGATGGTCCGTTGTGCCAATTACCAAGAGTTATTTTCTTATATAGCACACGTTCAAATCGGGACATAGAGTGGCCAAATGTGCAACTATATTTAAGAAGCAATGGATTTAATAGTATTTATTTAGTGCGGTTTAAAAGTCGCGGCACAATTAAACTACAGTCGACTGACCCAAGATTGCCACCACTTATTGATCCTAAATGGTTATCTCATCCGGATGATTTTGAAAATATGCTAGATGCAACGTCTACGTTGTTTTACATGTATGAGAGCACACAAATGGCCGATTATATACAACCATTGCCAACATTTTCATCCATCGGTTGTCCCGACTGTCCGGACAAACAGTATTTGTATGAATGTATTGAGGGATTGAAGTGTTTTATTAAATATAACACTGAGTCTAGTATTCATTCGTCAGGCAGTTGTCGTATGGGAGCGATAGAGAGGCCGGACGTTGTGGTCGACCCCCAGTTGAGGGTTAAGGGGGCCAACAATCTAAGGGTTTGCGACGCCTCTGTGTTTCCCGTTATACCTAATACTAACACCGCCTCCGCAGCGATACTCGTAGGTTATAAATGTGCCCAAAATATTAAAAAATTTTACAATTTATAAAAATTTAATTAATGTATTTTGATTTATCTAAAATTCTATTTATACAAAAAAAATTATTAAAAGTAAAAATACCGTAAAATTAGTTATATAAAACTTTATTTTTAAAAAT